AAAACTAAAATTTATGGTAATATACGTATAATGTGAATATTATAAAACATGAACCCAACTGAGTACACATGATTTATATTATTTCCTAAAATACCCAACTGAATACACATGATTTATATTATTTCCTAAAATACCCAACTGAATACACATGATTTATATTATTTCCTAAAATACCCAACTGAATACACATGATTTATATTATTTCCTAAATCACATGCACTAGTTCATATATAAACAGAAATTTTCACATATGTTTCATAAACACAAATATAGTATATCAGCATGTATAAAAGAATCTATTCAAAATTTCGTAAATCTGACATTAAAAATGTTAAATTACTACTTAATAAGAACAACAAGAACTATTTCATACTAAGTATGCCTTAAATATAATTATACTCACTGTAAAATTTAAAAAAAAATAGACAAATCAAAACTTGAGTAATCGGCGTGGTCAAAAACATAACTGCGCCATTTGCAATCTAAAAGTGTTACAAGGTTCCTTTAGTCACATATTTGTTCCCTAATTCCTTAAAAACACTGCAGACGTAAAAACCCATTTAAAAGTGGGGTTTATTTACCCAACAGGGTATGAAATCTAATCTGTGGGACGTATGTGTCCATTAGGGCCGAAAGGGTTAAGTCCCATTTCTATACGTGGACGACGACTTGAATTCTCATCATCTGCCAGTTCGGTTCACGTTGCGTGGCCTGCAACATGGATTGCCGCAAACTGAGTGTCACGTAAACTGGAATGATTTCGTTCATCACGTCCAAAGTTCTGTTAATGTTAAAACTTCTCTCAGCAATAACACAGATATAAATTATTTCATTAAACATCAAAATTCAGAACCCCCTTAACTATGCAAAATTTGCCAGTAATAAAGATAAGTTTACTCTCCTTGTCCATATTCTACAAAATATTCAAGCAGTAACTTTCCCAGCGCTCGCAGGATCCCCTTGATAAGAGCAATTTTAATCAAGCCAGTAAAGAACTAAAAAGTCTCTTAATACATTCAAGATAATTGTCACAATTTCTTCTTAGACAGTTTATCTCACACCGACCCCACTGTGTGGAAAATAGCAAAATCTTTCAAAAATCATTTAGTACCATTGGACTAATATCTAAAAATAATACAAAAATTTTTAATCGTGAGGATATAAATGACAAAATTTTCAATCCAAATGACATTAATTTTGTTAATTATGATAATGATTTTATCATCAGCAGTAATCTAGCCAGGAGGCCTCATGGTATGAATAAATTGACAAAAGAGTATTAAAATAATTCCCACACAAAGGAATTTTACTTCTTACTAATATCATGAATGTGTATCTCAGGGTATGAATTTTCCCACAAACCTAGAAATATGCTCTTGTAATTGTTATTAAAAGCGTGGTAAAGATGAGGACAAAGCTGAAAATTACAGACCAATCAGTCTGCTACCCTCAGTTGCAAATATTTTTCAGAGAATTATTAAAAGGATGCATCACTTCATCTGAGAACATAACAATTTTTCCGAATCACTCATCACCAATTTGGTTTCCAACGGTTTCTTTCCCACCCAACAGATCGCAAGATCGATTGAGTATGTCGGCAATTTTTTTAATATGAATTAGACGGCTGCAGGTACCTTCATAGACACAGAAAAGGATTTTGATTAAGGTATCACGCTATGGACTCCTCAACAAAATAATGGAACTAAGTTTCCCAAAGCAAATCATTGTCCTCATTGCAAATTATCTACAAAACACAAATATTTCAAGTTCTCATCAAAGAGGAGATGTCGAGTATTAGGAAAATACATTCTGGTGTGCTTCAGGATAGTACTCTCGTACCAATAATATTCTATATTTATACATGCAATATGCAAAAAAAAAAAAAAAAAAAAAAAAAAAAAATGAGAATACGATATTAGCGTATTAACATGAAATGAGAAAGCGATATTAGCATTAGTCGTCTTCTCTGATAGTCAGTTAACCTGCAATATGCTAATAAAATGCTTCAAGAAGCAGTTGATCGACTTTATCCTTGGTTCGATGTTAGGAAACTCAAAATTAACAAAATACAAAGCAGAATTATCCTGAATGCATCGTGATTTATTGGCAACACAGTCATTCACCATGTCTCAAAATAAGACCGATCGATACTGAAGTTCTCGCTACTGCTAAAAAATTCTATATTAACTGCGTTAGCCACTATCACTAAATCGTGAGAAACATTAGCGATTACGATTTTCTGGTGGGAAAAAACCATATAAAAGGCAGAGAACAATTTATCATAACGTTGGATAAATTTTTTGTTTGATTTTTTTATTTTTTTTATTTACCAACTTCTTGTTAACAATTTTATGACAGGATTCAATAATGCTGGACGACCGAGCGGACTTAGTGTGGTGTTCGCTTACTTTTTTTTTACAGTGATCTTGTATTTGTTTTATTCTAGACGAATATGCTATCAGTGGATTACTCTCGCAAGTGACTGGGCGTTTGCCTCCATTGCGAACTTAGAACATTTTTCTGAGACGTCTAAATATTTTATTTATTTTGTGTGATTGTGTTTTGAATTTTAGTTTTTGTATCCACAATACAAGCAAATGCTCAGTATTATTTACGTGCAATTCGATGAAGAAATCAGTTAGCAGTAGATGGCGCCACATGAGCCTTAACTTTTTCAATCTTATAACTTTTCAGAGACTCTTGTTTAATTAAGCGCCAGGCCTGCTTCGACCGGAATTCACGAAATTAATTTTGATTGCCCCAGGAAACATGAGATTTATGAAAGTGAAGGCTTAAAATTAAGCCGAAAACTTCTACTCCGAAGATATCCGATCTCCATGCTGACATCAGCGTCCTTGATTTGTAAATCTGAGCATATAGGTAAGATACGTCACTGAAGAAGTGTTTGACAACGGAAAGAGAAGTGTTTGACCTTGAAAATGTATAATATCATCTCTGACCCTGCAAATATCCAAACAATTTAACTGGGGAAAACAGGAAGAAAAGAAAAATGATGCTTTTAAAGGAATAACTATATTAATAAAATTAGTTTAAGTTAATGTATTTTTTCTACAATAAAATGCAAATGAATTAATTTTCTCCAAAAATCCAGTAAAATGTAAAATGAAGGTAAATACTCAGTCATTTCTTGATATGTTATTTCACTGATTTGGGGAAAACAGGAAGAAAAGAATAATGATGCTTTTAAAGGAAATAACTATATTAATAAAATTAGTTTCAGTTTAAGTTAATGTATTTTTTCTACAATAAGATGCAAATGAATTAATTTTCTCCAAAAATCCAGTAAAATGTAAAATGATGGTAAATACTCAGTCATTTCTTGATATGTTATTTCATTGATTTGGGGAAAACAGGAAGAAAAGAATAATGATGCTTTTAAAGGAAATAACTATATTAATAAAATTAGTTTCAGTTTAAGTTAATGTATTTTTTCCACAATAAGATGCAAATGAATTAATTTTCTCCAAAAATCCAGTAAAATGTAAAATTAAGGTAAATACTCAGTCATTTCTTGATATGTTATTTCACTGATTTGGGGAAAACAGGAAGAAAAGAATAATGATGCTTTTAAAGGAAATAACTATATTAATAAAATTAGTTTAAGTTAATGTATTTTTTCTACAATAAAATGCAAATGAATTAATTTTCTCCAAAAATCCAGTAAAATGTAAAATGATGGTAAATACTCAGTCATTTCTTGATATGTTATTTCATTGATTTGGGGAAAACAGGAAGAAAAGAATAATGATGCTTTTAAAGGAAATAACTATATTAATAAAATTAGTTTCAGTTTAAGTTAATGTATTTTTTCTACAATAAAATGCAAATGAATTAATTTTCTCCAAAAATTCAGTAAAATGTAAAATGATGGTAAATACTCAGTCATTTCTTGATATGTTATTTCATTGATTTGGGGAAAACAGGAAGAAAAGAATGATGATGCTTTTAAAGGAAATAACTATATTAAAAAAATTAGTTTCAGTTTAAGTTAATGTATTTTTTCTACAATAAGATGCAAATGAATTAATTTTCTCCAAAAATCCAGTAAAATGTAAAATGATGGTAAATACTCAGTCATTTCTTGATATGTTATTTCATTGATTTTTTTTTCCCTCGCCAATATTTAATCTTTATCAAATCATCATCTCAATCACATTTCTTTTAACTAATACTTTTTAAAAGTTCCGTATTTAAATATTATTTTTAGGAATATTTTAGCGTGCTAAACACACTCCAATTTATACAATTTTTAGGAATAATTTTAGCGTGCCAAACACACTCCAATTTATACAATATTTTGTTTCATTCTTCCCCTTCCATGCTTGTAATAGAAATATTTAAACTGTCTAGTGATGCGTGAATAAAAAGTATAAGTAGATATATATTAGTATGAAATAATTGAAAAATCAATTTCTTCCTTTTGATTTTCTATACCATGGAAGAATCTTTTCACAGTCCGATTGAGAATACACTGTTCCTTACATTATCATCATTGCATTTGCAATCCGTTAAAATTTCGTATAAATAGAGAGGATTGTGTGTTGCTTTTGAAATTTCTCGTAATCTATGCAATTTAGACGAAAGTTAAGTCCAGCTGCATTAGAATACATTGTTCTCCTCTTTTGAATTCATCCAATTAAGATTATAAAATAGGTTATTGCATGCAGTAGCAAAAAATGATCTGTTTTTTTACATGGTTTTTATGATATAGCAGATTCAATTTTGTAATTTTCAGTTATAATTCAATTCTGATGTCTGTTCCTTGTAAATTTTATTTTACAGTTTCTGTTATTGATATAAAATTTTTTATAATAGATTAACAAATTCAGAATCACTAAATTTAACGATATGAAAGTAAATCTCGTACCAAGTATACAAAAAGACATAATATGTATATATATAAGTATATATGACTTGTATAATGTATTACATAATGACCTGGCTATTTTGACTTTTTCTGATATTTTCTTCTTTTTTAGAATCTCGTTAAAGTGACGTTTGACTGTGAGACGTTATATCAGTATCCTGACTTGACGAGCAAATTTGAGGACCTGTTGCGAAATGTGAAGATTTTGTGCGTATTAGGTGACTTCGATGAATACAAAGGCATACCTGTCCATTTTTATCGATGTGTTAGTTCAGTTGCTTCAACTATTTCCAGATGCTGCGTAAATCTTGAAGAACTGGACCTTAGTCAAGCAAAAGTTAGTTTTAAATTACTCAAAATTCTGTCTCGTAGTTCATCCGTTGTTCGTTCCCTGCGTGTATTGCAATTAGTTAGAATTCCAGACGATCGCAACAAAATACCCTATATCAAAACACTTGCACACATTCTTAGAAAAATGCCATTTCTTCAGGTAGTTTCTAGGTTTTATGTGCCGGAAGCATTGCATATTTTGCACGGGAAGGATCTCATTAAGAACAGACTAAATACTGTTCAGACTTATTCATTAACTAAATTGGAGATTTATACTGGTCCGTATGAAGAGATCCTAACCATATGCACTGTTCTATGCCCAAATGTAACAAAATTGACAATTACTGTACGTGCGCAAGAACATTTGCATTGGTGCAGTAAATTTCCTAAACTGGAGGCTTTAAAAATTATCTGTGGACCAAGGACGCTGAATCTGAACAACTTGCTGGAAACCAAGGGAAGTGACTTTACATCCTTGAAACTGGGACTATGTCTTTCGATTTCCCTTTCAGTTTTAGCGCGGAATTGCCAAAAATTGAGAAAACTACATTTAGGCTATACTACTATGTATTATCCAGACACTGACAGCATCCTAACACTAAAGAGTTTAAAAGAATTACGATATTGTGTGGACAAAAATTGTCCACACAATATAAAAGCTTTAAGTCTGATATTGAATTCAAGCTCAAATCTAGAGAATTTATACTTACTGTATGTCTGCTCTGACCCGGTGGTGAATAATATGGTTTTGAAATGTTGTGAGCGAAACACTTTAAAACATTTGTATCTACACAGCTCGTCTTATGACGCGGATTTCTTGAAGATAATTTTAAAATCCTGCACATCTCTTCAACGGCTGAGTGTAGGGAAGTTGGGACGTTCGGATTCAGAGCTTAAAGACCTAACACTAGCTGCGTATTCCGCAATAAATTCGCCTGAAATTGAATGGATTCTGTGTAACTGATGGATGTATCAACTATCAGTAAAAGATAGTTAATCACCAGCAAACGATAGTGATTAGATGGGATAATTAGATGGGAATTGGATGATATTTTACCAAAACATTTGAATAATAGCTGCCGAATCTTTTCAGTTTGGGCCTGGTTTCAGATTGTGGATAATGAAAAAGAAGATTTCCAGCGGCTAAAGAATGGATTCTTTTCAATTTCGTACATGTGAAATGGATGTCAGTTCAAACGTGATTACATTTCTGAATTTGCTGTTTCCATTCTGAGCTCACAAGTCACGTAATCCCTTGCTAGATGTTCTCATGATACCTCTTGCTCAGATGTTACCGTAATAAATTTTTACGTATTTGTGTATTTGTATCAAATATTAAATATTTACTTGTTTTTGAGAGTATTTTGAACTTTTTTCCAATTTCAATTTTCGATATATTCTTTTGAATTTATGAAAATGTTTACATATGTTTCTGGAAAAATTCTGTATACATATGATAGCTTTTTCATTACGGCTAATCACAGTGTATAAGCGTATCAATATGTGAACAAAGGCACCTTAATATCTCCTTATAAATTAGGCAAAATAAATAGATCTGAAAGCTTTCGGATCATACGGCCTTTTTTTTTTTTTTTTTTTTTTCTTTTTTTTCCTCCTTTCATTCACTGACACATACACGTTTTTCAGAGCGCCATTTTGGGCTGAAAATATTTAAAAACAGCATATCTTTGGAATTTCCGATAGACAGTCTCAAAGGCTGGAGTTAAAAATGTTGTTTTATTCCTTATACAGAGTTGCCACCGCTCCCTTTGAAATTATTGAGTATTTTAATCAAAAATTCGTTAAAGCTTTACAAAATTTGAAATAGATAATAAACCAAATTTAAAATTTGGGCTTCCAAAGTGCCCATTTTCGGTTGGAGGACAACGTTATTCAAAATTTGATGGCTCTATGTACCTTTGTTTAGTCACAGTACGAGAAACATACATACATTCATGCAGATTCTTCATTATTTAATTTCTTTAAATACAAATATAATGCAGGGCGATAATATTTGTAAAATTGAATGATACGACGTTTTAGTGATCGACGCGAACTTTAAAAAACCTAAAAAAGTACACTTAAAAACTGTAAAAAACCAATTGGCGAAACAGTAAACCCGTTTGGCAAACCTACAGGCTGACGGGGAGAGAAGAATTTTCGAATTTTCCGCGGCAGTCAAGGGGAACTACTTCAACAAATGTGTGCGTCTCTGTTTCGCCGAGATATGTGAACTTGTGTACTCGCATCTGTACTGTGCTCTGAATTTCTTAAGCCGTTATAATGTACCCGGCAACTGTTACTTTTCCTTATTAAATTTGATTATTAATTGTAACATGTCTATCTTAACTAAGATTTCGGCTTTCCTAGTTAATGTTAGGGATATTTTCGTATGCACGTGTTACTCACACGTACATCATTGGTGACCCTGTCCCTCGCTCCTTCTGTTTCGATCCCTAATGACTATCTGTCTCAATCTTTGTTAAAAAACTAAAAATATGCCTTATTTTGATGCCAATGCTCTTCCTTATGACTGATAAAGGCTCCACCCTATTCATTTCCTCCTCATTTTATCGTACGGATTACACGTGGTTTATCACACTTAAGGAGGATTTACAGGTATGTGGTCAAATTTTTTTAATTATCTGTGATTGGTCTTAATTATGTTTTTGTGATATGTTTTGCTCTAAAATTATAGTTTTAATTTAATTATTGATTGTTTAAAATTGATCTTTGAGTAATATTTGTGCTCACACTTTTATTGAGATATTGAATGTCTTCGTTATTTTATTCTAAATTGATACTGTTTTGATAAGGTATAGTGCAAAACATTAAGTTTACGATTTACGATATATTTATAATTGGCAACCATGCCAGGATCGGAAGGCCAAACCAACGAGGAATCGAATATGGCGGTTCAGGAGCCACAAATCTCACACGTGGCAGTTAAAATTCCCCCTTTATGGAAAAATAATGTTAAACTTTGGTTTATTCAAGTTGAAAGTAACTTTGCTTTAGCGAAGATTAGTAGCGATAGTACAAAATACAACCACGTGGTTTCTTCGATAGACCCTGAAACTCTTTCCGCAGTATCAGATATTTTATTTAATCCCCCAGCGACGGCTAAATATGATGCCCTTAAAGCTAGGTTAATAGGAGAATTCTCAGATTCGGAAAGCGAGCAAATACGCAGACTTATTTCTGAATTGCATTTAGGGGACGACAAACCATCTCACTTATTGAGAAAAATGAGAGAATTAGGTGGAAACTGTATAACTGACGAATTTTTAAAATCATTATGGCTGCAAAGGTTACCTTCCGAGGTGCATGCCATTTTATCAATAAGTTTGGAATCCTTAGACAATTTAGCAAAAATGGCTGATAAGATAGCTGAAGTGCGCACGCCAACGAACAACAGCGTGTTCGCGGTCCAGGCAGCTTCGGCCAGTTCCCCCAGAAACCCTAACGATTCTGGTGCCCCCCCTCGAGGAGCTTAAGGCCTTAAGGAGTGAAATCTCTGCCCTAAGTAAACAAGTCGAGCGACTCTCCCCGCGGAAACACGAGGAATAATTTCCCCCGGGATCAACATAACAAAGCACGTAGTTTTTCGCGTGGGCATTCCCGAGAGCGTGTGAACAATTATTGTTATTTTCATTCGCGATTCGGTAGTAATGCACGAAAATGTCGAGCACCTTGTTCCTTTTCTCAGAACACTACGGCCCAGGAAAACTAGTAGTAGCGGCTATCGATCGAAATTCATCGGCAGTCGCGCATTCATGTCGTTTACATGTTTACGATAACAGATTAAATTTAAACTTTTTGATTGATTCGGGCTCGGATGTTTCATATGTGACACCGACTTCTAAGTTTAGGAAAATGCATCCTGATTCGCTTCAATTATTTGCCGCGAATAATTCCAGAATTTCTACGTATGGAACAAAATTGTTAACTGTGAGTTTAGGACTTAGACGAAACTTTTCTTGGAAGTTTTTAATCACCGATGTACCAGTGCCTATAATAGGAGCCGACTTTTTAAGGCATTTTGATCTTTTAATCGATTTAAAACGAGGTAGGCTTATCGATAATACTACGAAATTAACTCGTATTGGTTCTCTTTCCGATTCTAAAAATTATTTTTCGGTAAAGTTAATATCTGGTGATTCACCATATCACAGAATCTTGAAAGACTTTCCTAAAGTACTGAAGTACTGAAGTTAAAATCCGATTCGTGTAGAGTAAAACATAGTACGGTTCATTACATCGAAACATACGGTCCTCCTGTGCACAGTAAACCGCGTAGGTTAAGCCCTAAGTTATACGAAGCAGTAAAAAAAGAATTTCAATTTATGATAGATCAAGGTATTTGTAGACCATCAAAATCAGCATGGTCATCACCTCTTCATGTAGTTTCTAAAAGTTCGGGCGACATACGGCCAGTAGGAGACTACCGAAAACTAAACGCGTGCACCGAACCCGACAGATACCCTATCCCGCATTTACAAGACTTTAATAATACGCTTAGCGGAAAGACAATTTTTTCAAAAATTGATATCGTTCGGGCATATCATCATATACCAGTCCATCCAGATCATATACCGAAAACTGCAGTTTGCACCCCATTTGGTCTTTCGAATTTCCGTTTTTAAATTTCGGACTGTGCGGAGCAGCTCAAACCTTTCAAAGGTTTATGAACGAAATTCTTGGAGATCTAAAATTCGCCTACGTCTACTTAGATGATATTTTGATATTTAGTCATACGGAAGATGAGCATAAATCTCACCTACGTACTGTTTTTGAAAGATTAACTTCATATGGATTGACAATTAACGCTTCGAAATGTGTTTTCGGCGTTCCGGAAATATCTTTTTAGGCCATATAATCAATAAAGATGGTACCAAGCCTCTGACGAACAAAGTGGAACCGATACTTAACTACCCACTTCCTAAAACGGTAAAAGATTTGCAGAGATTTTTAGGATTTTTAAATTTTTACCGTCGATTTTTACCCAACGTAGCCCAGAATCAAATACATTTAACTTCGTATTTAAAAGGGGCTAAGAAAAATGATAAGACAATCCTGAATTTGTCTGAGGAAGCGCGGAGGAAGCGCGGAGTGAATTTCAAAAGTGCAAACAGCTAATCGGTAATGCTGTTCTTTTGGCACACCCGAAGAAAGATGCCCAGTTGGTTTCACAGGTTGATGCGTCAGACTTCGCGATCGGTGGAACGCTATCACAAATAGTTGATAGAAATTTACAGCCTCTCGCATTTTTCTCACGAAAGCTTTCGCAGGCGGAAAGGAACTATAGTGCGTATGATCGAGAGCTATTGGCAGCTTATGCTGCTATTAGGCATTTTAAGCATATGTTGGAAGCACGGAACTTTTCTTTAATCACCGATCACAAACCGCTCACGTATGCATTCCGACAGCGTTTGGATAAGTGTTCACCTCGTCCGGCTAGGCAGTTAGACTTTATCTCACAATTCACCACTGAAATTCGCCATATAAAAGGTTCGGAGAATATCGCTGCCGACGTACTTTCGCGTATAGAAGCAATAAGCATGCCTAACCCTATCGACTATGAGGAAATCGCTAAAATGCTAAAATGCAAGAAATCGACACAGAATTACAAACATTGCTTAAAGAGTCAAAAGTTCTACATCTCAAAAAAGTTACCTTACCGAATTGTAGCTTTTCGATATATTGCGATGTGTCAACAGGTAACGCCCGTCCTTACATTCCTCCGGCATTCCGTGAGAAAGTTTTTGCCACCTTGCACAATTTGTCTCACCCCGGCATTCGCGCATCAACAAAGTTAGTATGTTCACGGTTTGTTTGGTCTTCCATCCGCAAAGATTGCGCGAAATGGGCACGGCAGTGCATTCCGTGCCAGAAAGCAAAATTAAGCAGACATACTAGAACCCCGTTAATGAAGTTTCCAGACCAATCACAGAGGTTTGATCACGTCCACCTTGACCTTGTTGGTCCCCTACCTCCTTCTCAAAATAATTATTACTGTCTAACTATGATATATAGATTTACTAGATGGCCCGAAGCAGTACCCATACCAGACATAACAGCACGCACAGTAGCACAGGCTTTCTATGACCACTGGATTACTCGATTTGGTTGTCCGACTGTTATTACTACCGACCAAGGGCGACAGTTTGAAAGCGGCTTATTTCGAGCCCTTTCCCAATTATTGGGAATCAAGAGGATCAGGATGTCTCCGTACCACCCACAGGCAAACGGACTGATCGAGGAATTCCACCGTCCTTTGAAAGCTGCCTTAAAAGCGCACGATACCAGTGACTGGGTGGCTGCCCTTCCAACGCTGCTGATGGGTTTCCGCGCCGC